CAGAGCTCTTAAAAAGTTGAGAAACCTAGGAAGAATGATTTCAAAACGTCTATGTCGTGGCTGAACTTGAGAAAGAAGACAACACTTGTGAATGAAAACCAACCTGAAAGATACAAAACTGGCAGCTGTGGTCCCTCTCCCTTGCTCCCTCGGGGGTTTCAGCATCTCCAGGCAGGTTTGCTGCAGGAGCGTCCTAACTGGCCCCTTGCTTCTGGCTCTCCTTCCACCACTCCGCCCTTCACATGTTGTCCACTGACCTGCCTAGTATGTAATTCTGATGGTCACCCCTTTGCTCAGAAGACTATTGGCCAGAGAGAGGCAACCCCCTTGAACTTTGCAGGATGCCCCAAGCTGACCTTTCCAGCTTGACTTTTCTTCCCTGTGGCCGCACCTCATCTACGCACCAGCCACACAACTGCTTCCTGAAGTGTCCACACTCATCCTGAGTCAGCTCGTTGGCTCGCTCTGTTTCCTCTGGCCAGAATTCCCTTTCCCTTCCCTGGGAATCTCCTACCCAGCTCACGCTGCCCTCCTCCAATGCCATCTCCCCATAAGATCTTTTACTGGACCTGGCTGTCATCCTCTGTCCTCTGACCCCTCGATGTACTTTCAAGTGCCTCCAAAGGAACTAGTATTCCATCTCGCGCCAAATTACTTACCATCTCCACTGCGGGACTATCAACTGTCTGAGGCAGAAGCTGTTTAAATTCCTACTCTATCCCCTGAAGCAAGCAGCACAATGCCTTACACACTGGAGGCACTCAAGTATGTAGGGAGTCAAACTCTATCAAGTTCTCTCCAAGAAAGTCACTGGAGGGAAAATACTTTGAGGACACAGATGGAAAACTAAGGGATGGGTGATAGTAATGTATTGAGAAAGTCTCAGAACATGCAAAATTTATACCAACAGCAGAAATAGTTTACTTTCGTGTGACTAAAACCTACAGGCTTTTGTGAGGTCATGATGGGAGGAAAAAGCCACACATAAAACCTCTCTTTCCAGGTAAATAATATATGAACTAAAGGAGAGTAGCCTTTAAAAAATAAACTCAACCATTTTTCCCCAAGCTGTAGAAAGTAATACAAGAAATGTTGACAAGTCTGTTACAACGGAATCATAAATGTAATCAGCCTCAGAAAAAAAAGCTTCAAATACTTCTGACCTGTGTGAATTTACTCTCAAGGAATAGGAAGCCAGGGTGAAAATCACTAGCTGTTCCTTACTCACAGGCTCCAAGAATGAAGGAATGAATGAATGAATCAGGACTTAATAAGACCTGATTGAGAATGCGCTATAAACCACTGCTTCACAAAATATTTGTGGGAAAGAACTGGTTTGGAAATACCTCTTACGTGTTGTGGACTGTTAGTTACTGTCGTACAATACAATTAAATGCTGCAGCAACGTCTAAAGGTTGAGGCGTGCTTCTTGTACTCGTCATGGGCCAGTAACAGACTGTGCAAACAGGCAGCATCTGCTGCTTCTCCACATCCACATCCACTGAACCCACTACCAAATGCAGGGGAAGGTAGGATACGTGCCTACCTTCTGCTCTCGCACCTCAAACACTGCTTCAGGGACACTGCAAGCAAAGAGCGAGGTAGGCAGATCGCTGAAATCCATCATCTCTTCCAAATCATCTTCATTTTCACCAAAAACCATCTCTTCTTCCTCTTCTTGGTCACTGCTACAGAGATCTGACTGGCTGTCATTCCAAGATTTCATAGTGTCCCTCAGCATTATCCCCTAAAAGCAGGTCTTTTCCGTTTTTAAAGTTCTAAGGTGTCTACCAGGCATCTGGTGTTAAAAAAGAGAAAACAGCATAAAGATAAGACTTTGAAGGCCAAACACTGTTCCAGTCAATTCTCAAGACAGCAATTTATCCATGGAAGCAATTTTATTCAGGGAAGATAAATCAGAGTCTAAATCAATTCATTACAGTCCTCACAAGTAAGTTCTATATATTCTAATTTGATTTGCTTAGCATAGTTAATGTAATACATTTCACGGCAATGACATATTACAAAAAAAAAAAGGGCAAAAAGTTTTCTAGTGACATGCGGGGGTGAAATGGGCAGTACGAAATGAGACAGTATCAATATGTGCGCTAGTTTACAAGCAGTAGGAAGGAAAATGTGAACCAGAGCTGCCTTCACATATTTGTTTTGGGTTTTAGGTCTACAACAGTGAAACTGGAGCAGCTGAATACAACCCACACGGATTCATTCACCATCTGCACCGTGAAACATGGTCTGCTGCGAGATGACTTCACCTGTCTTAACCGATTTGTTCTTTTTGAATATACTCTCAAAGAACCCAGTTGCACAGACCCGAAAGTTCTCTATGAGGCAGGTCATTGTCAATACCAGAAATACGGATGAAAGGCAAAATCTGACACAGACGACAACTGAAGAGATGACCTTTTTTCTGAACATTTATAAATTAATAATCTTAATCCTGAAGGCCTGGAGCCGATAGCGGCCCTCTGTTAAATAACGGAAGAACATCTGTCTTCTATGGACTTTCTGCATGTCGGTCTCCTCTGATGAGCTGTACCCACACCCTCCGAGCACACTGCCTGGACCCTAACAAATTTCAAGATGCTAAAATGGAATTTTAAAAATACCAATCAGGCACAGAAAAATCATGCGATCACGACTGTTACTAGCTTACTATGACTTCATTTGTGATTTTACATTTTATTTCAAAGAACACAATGCTGCAAATATATTGCTTATACAGAGTACATGACAGATGTCAATTACAGGCTAAAAACAGTAGAGGTTTTTTTCCCCCCATTATTCTACTACACCAATCAGGAAAGACTAATTCCCAAAAGTCAAGTCCTTACTCATTTTTATAAACATCTTCTGAATGCCCATCACATGCCAGCTATTATTAGGCATATTAGACGGGTAAGAAATAGTTCCTGTCCTCAAGGAGCTCCCGCCAGAGCAAGAATTTCTTCTCAACAATGCTAACCAATCCTGAAGGATCTTGTTCTAAGAGTTCCTAAGCTTTCAATTTCTGCTTCTCCATCGGTCCCTTTTCTTCAGCAAACACACCTACTCGGGATTCCCCACCCCCACCCACCCAATCTTAGAAGAAGAAATCTTCCTTTGGAGTTCTGTCTTCCCCTCCAGCTACCTCTCCGCTGCTTCTTCGCCTCTCCTACCAATTCCCTGCAAAAAGTAAGCTGTCCTGCTGTGTTCTGTTCCCCAACAGCACATGCTCGAGAACTCGGTGCCACTGGCCTTCTGCCACTACCTTCGGCTGAAACCATCCTCACGTGCCTGTCTCTGCAGCACCAGACACTGCCGCCCACCCGTCACTCGTCACTCGGCATTCAGTGTGCCTCTGCCTTCCAGGTAGGGTCTCGGTCCTTCCTGGCTCTCCTTCCTAAACCAACTGTCTGTCACTGGCTCCTCTGTCGTCACTCACCCTCTACAAGTTCATCTCTTTGAGGTTTCCCTCCTCCTCCTCATCATCTTCTTCTGGAGTGGTGTCATCCATCAAGCCTTTAACCACTTAACTGCCAGTGCTTCTCAGCTGTTTCCTGCTCACCCTGTGGCTCACACACACACAACATGGGGCTATCAATACTGCCTCTCATTTTCCGCAACGAATTGTAAGCTGGGAAGGATGTCACCGGAGTAAGAGCAGAGTCTTGGGCAATGGTCGGGGGGGGGGGGTTAAGGTGGAAAAAAGTACATGATCCCAAGAGGTTCTAATCTGTCTCTAGGTCTTTCCTGCCTATACACCCTGAAAATCACTAATCTGTATGATTCATGCACCCAGACTCAACCTCTGTCCTAAGCTCCAGACTTGTATTTTTAGCTTCCTATTACACATATCTGCCTGTGTGGCCCACAGGTACTACAATTATTTTAAACTTCATACCTTTAATTAGATTATTGTGCTGTAAGTCTCCAATCTGGAAAGGGGCCAGGTTGGGGGGGGGGCAGGGGGGGGGAATGGTATCTCACTAAGGCTTTCTTTGTAATCCTTTTCTTCAAGACTGAGCTGTCAGAGTTCATAATTCTCACAACACTTTGTTTATTTCTCTGTTACATACTTACCTGGTGACTATTTGTTTACAAATCACTCCCTGTTACCAGACCGTGAGTGCCTTTGAACCCCTTGTCCCTGGCACAGTTTCTGGCTGACAGTATAGGCTTAATAAGGATTGCTGAATGAAAGCAGATAGCACTGTGTTTACCCCACTAATACGGCAGCACAGACAGAGGAAAATTTAATTCTATGTGAGATTAGAGACAGCTTCCCCAAGGATGTTATGGAGAGACTTAAAGATAAACAATTTCAGCAGAAAAATGAGGGGGTGCGTTCCAGGCAAAGCCTGAACAGTTCAAGGACAAAGGGAGGACAGATCATCGCGAACAAAGATCTGATGTGGCCAGAACGTAATGTATTTGGTGGGGTGGCAGGAGACAAAGTTAGAAAGGCAGGCATGGGTCTCCAAGCTGCCTTAAAAGTAGGGTTACAGCGTCCTGATACAAAACAGAGTCAATATCAGCATGCCATTGAAGGTTTTTAGGCAGGGAAATGATATATTAACCCAATTTAACTTTCAATATCACTAAAAGTAGATTGTCTTTATATCTTATCTCTTAGAGGAGCTAATGTTTTTAATCTCACCCGACTCCCAACCCATTACAAAGAGGTGAGGAAAATACTGTGCGTGGTTTTTTAGAGAATGGAAGGTTGGGGAGCTCTGAATGACCAGATTTTGAAATATGAGAAAAATCAAGCCATTTTTGACAAGATTTTTTGTTTCAAGTTCCTTCCTCCAACCCCTAAAAAGGAAAGGAAAGGAAAGGGGAGGGGGAGGGAGAAGAAAAATCAGAGCACAGGAACAATCCCTCACTTGACTTAAAAAAAAAATTCTTAGAAGGTTATACCTTCGTTTCCTGTTTTCTTCCTTCACTTTAGGGTAACTTTTTCTTGTGCCGTAATTTCAAACAGAAAAGTAAGACTAGTAGAAGGAAGTCCTAAATACTTTTTACCCAGAGTTACCAATTAATTACATTTTTGCCCATTTTTAAAATCATTGTTTCTATATATATACATACTTTTCCCCCTGAACCACTGAGAGTAAGACAAATGTGCTGTCTTTACTCCCAAATACTTCAGTGTGTAAGAACAAGATCAGTTTCCTACATAAGCCACAGTACAGTGATCAAAACCAGGACATTTAACATTGACATAATATTGTTATCTAAATCAGTGTCTATCTTCAAATTTTGTCAGTATTCCTAGTAATGTCCTTATGATTATTTTCTCTTCAAATGTTTTAGGTTATTGTTAAATAATTTGCCTTTTGTCCCAAGATATCTCAGTAGTCTTTATAGTGCTGCTACATTTTCTTTACTTATACATTACTGGGTATTTGATACACTTTAAAAGGATGGACTGATGAAATATCACAGTACTGCAAACAAGCTTGAACAGTCTTTAAGTATATCCCAAGAAGATTCAGTCTCCATAATCAATTTTCTAGATTTAAACTCTGGCTCCCCAGTACTCTATATTAGGCAAATCACTTTGCCTCCCTTTCCATTTCCTCAACTGTAAAATAGAATTATAAAATAATAACCCTTACCCAAAAGGCTGTCAGAAGGATTAAATGCTAAGTGCTCAGAACAATGCTTTGCACATAGTTAGTGCTCAATGATTTTTACATAGGCACAATCCACATCAATGAATTGCTGGATTGAGGATGCCAATAATGTCAGAACCATCAATGGAACAGATATTCAAGCAATAAAATGAGAAAAATACATGTCCAAATAATCTAATTCCAAGCAATAAAAAGGCTACAAAAAGAAAATAAACACTTTGTATCATTTCAAGAAAACTGTTCAGTGGCTGATCTAGCAGTAAAACCAGCTCAGAGCAACCACTGGAAGGAGTACTATGGCTCCAGGAAGAAAACCATTAAAGATTTAATTTTTTTTTTTCAACGTTTATTTATTTTTGGGACAGAGAGAGACAGAGCATGAACGGGGGAGGGGCAGAGAGAGAGGGAGACACAGAATCGGAAACAGGCTCCAGGCTCTGAGCCATCAGCCCAGGGCCCGACGCGGGGCTCGAACTCCCGGACCGCGAGATCGTGACCTGGCTGAAGTCGGACGCTTAACCGACTGCGCCACCCAGGCGCCCCTTAAAGATTTAAAAACAGTTGGCTGAAAAAAAGGCCATCGTGCTTTTTTTAAGAGCTTCATGGAATTTTATGTTGTAATTCAATGCACACGGTATTAGAGAGACTATCTTTCAGATGATGCCTCTGTTGCTGAAGGCAAGCCACGAGCTTTTTTCGGATATAGCTTAAGTCAACATCATCGACCATTTCATAATTTTCTGATATCATAAAATGCAGTTAGATTTGATCAGAAAGAGATGATCAAAATCAAATAGTGGAAATGACAACCTTCGCACATCTGTAAGATCATCTTGTAAGGTAACTCAGCTTAACAAGCAGTTTGATTTCATTAAGACAAAGAAAATAATTACAAAAGTACATTGTTTCTATGCTGTTATTACTGGAGCAGTTGCTAACTCTGGCCCACTCCAACTATTACAAGATTAAGCTGTCCCTAAGTTTACTACACCAGGGAAACACTGACTGGTTTAACAGGGCTGAACCAATATCCTCCCGCTTCTGTAAGCAAAGGTCTGCGCTAATCAGGGTTTAGCATCATCTCAGTGCCACTGTAGCTGTG